GCAGGAGCTGAGTCAGGGACGCTCTACCTTGCTCAGCTCTGGACCTGTAACACCCAGACCAGTCCCTGCACAAGGTAGTCGTTCCGTGGTTTTCATGGGCTGTCTGGATGTGGGAGGAGGAGGCAGAGCAGGCAGCCCAGGGGCAGTGATGGTGAGGAGTCCGACTGCCTCCCTGGGGAGCTGCTCCTGTTCGGGGCCAGCTGTAGGAAGGAGCAGAGTTCATGGGTTGGAGAGCTGTCCCCTTACTACTTTCAGACTAATGAGTCCCACTGCTGGGTAAAAATACAGCTCTCCTTAGAGTTTCCTCCTTCATCTAGACACTCTGAAACCTTCCTTATTCCAGATTGAGTTCTCCTAGCTTCTTAGTAGAGGTGTCCCCAGAGATCCCCTCTGACCTTTATTTCTCCAGGGTCCACTTATTCTGGGAATTTCCAAAAACAGACTTCAGGTAATTACCTCCTGTACCAGCCATGCATCCAACCCTCACATAGAGTTTTGATAACCCTGACCAGTTTGCAGGGGACTACTCTGACCCTGAGACCATTTTTAGCCCTTTATGGACTCATAAAAGTTTATAACTGGGAAGGATAGTAAAGGTATTTTAGTGTAGTTCATCCATTTTATAAGTGAAAAGATAACTGAAGGGGAGAAGTAGCTTTTCCAAGGGCCAAATGGCTAATTTACATACAACTCTGAACAAAAAATTAGTCTTCAGACTCCCAGCCAGTATTCTCTCTACCCCCTTACATATCCCCCCATGTTGTTCTGTAATTCCTTGTCTGACTATCTTTTTAAAACTATTTCTTTTTTTAATATATATTTTTATTGACTTCAGAGAGGAAGGGAAAGGGAGAGAGTGATAGAAACATCAATGATGAGAGAGAATCATTGATTGGCTGCCTCCTGTACGCCCCTCAATGAGGATCAAGCCCACAACCCAGGCATGTGCTCTGACCGGGAATTGAATTGTGACCTCCTGGTTCATAGGTTGACACTCGACCACTGAGCCACATCAGTTGTGCTAAATATTTCTTTGTTTTTAGTATATTCACAGAGTTATATAACCATCACCACTATCTAAATTTAGAATGTTTTCATCACCCCAAAAAGAAATCCTGTACCCATTAGCAGTCACTCCCTATTCTCCTCTGCCCCAGCCCCTGACAACCACTAATCTACTTCCTATCTCTATGGGTTTATCTCTTCTGGACATTTAATATAAATAGAATCCTACATATGTGGCCTCTTGCAATTGGCTTATTTCACTGTTTCCAAAATTCATCTATGCGGTAGCATGAATCAGTACTCCATTCCTTTTTATGACTAAATAATATTCTGTTGTGTGGACAGGCCACATTTTATTCATCCATTCATCAGTTGACAGACATTTGGGTTATTGCCACTTTGGAGCTATTATGAATAATGTTTCAATGAACATTCATGTGCAAGTTTTTGTGCGGACATATGCTTAAATTTCTCTTGAGTGATACCTAGGAGTAGAATTGTTAAGTCATATGGTAACTTAGTCTATGTTTAAAATTTTGTGGGATTGCTGAAACATTCTCCAAAGTGGATGAATCACGTTACCTTCCCTCCAGTAGTGTCCACGGGTTCCACTTTCTCCACATCCTCATCAATGTTTGTCATTGTCTGTCTTTTTATTTTAGCCATCCTAATGGCCGTGAAGTGGTGTCTCACTGTGGTTTGGATTTGCACGTCCTTAATGACTAATGATGCCAAGCATCTTTTCATGTTCTTTGGAGAAATGTCTATTCAAATACTTTGCCCATTTTTTAATTGAGTCTCTGCCTGATTATTGTGGAGCCCATTTTTCTTTGCCTTTAGCAATTACCCTGAAGTCTTATTTTATTTGCCTCTGATTACTTTTCCTGCTTACGTAGGTCCTGTTGGATCTTGTTCCCACTCTATCTCCTATAATTTTTAAGAGCTGTAGGATCATATCATCATAAAATTCATCTCACTGAAGCCCAAATAAACATCTGGCACAATGTTTGGCACATAGAGCTCAGGAAATGTTTGTTTATTCCACAGAATGAATGGATGCAGAAGATTCAACAAGAAATCGTAGTCTTTCAAGAAGAAATGAACCTTAGAAGTTGCCTAGTCTAGGATGACAGAAAAGCAACCTGTGCACTGCCCCTCTATATTCTGGCCATGGCAGACATTATTAATTGATCACAGCACCATTTTCAGCTAAAGCCAGGAGAGAGCTCATGATCCTCAACACAGAGCTCTGGGCAGCCACTACCAATCCATCAGAGTTGACTGAGAGAGGAGAATTATCTGCCATCACTGTCAGATTTAAAACTGAAGTTCAGAGAGGTGTAATAGCTGTGGCATTTTCAAAGCTCAGTCTATCTGACTCCAGAACCAGTACTCCTCTCACCATGTCCTCCTGAGGCACTTTCCAGCACTGATACACAGCCATTCCAATCACCTGCCTCTGCTTTGGCAATGGCAATACTGGAATGGTTCTTTCCCAAGTTCCCAGTGGTGGTTGGCAGCCCAGTGCTGTTCCCTCTTGTTGGGACACACTCAGTCCCAACCAGTCCCCAGACACCTAACTGACCCCCAGAGCAAGCCCCCACCCCTCACTAATGCCTGTGCTCTGGGCTATGAGTCTCATCACAGTTCAGCTCTCTTGTCAGCTGAAGACCTCTTCCACCTGCTGACCCTGGCACAAGCCAGACCTGCCTCCTCCATGACACTGACCTCCAAGAGAGCAGATGCGGGCAGCATTATTCTACCCTCACAACCCCCAGGGTGCAGAGGGGGAGGCCAAAGCTGTCAGGGAGCATGGCCCCCAGGGCCCTCACTTGCCTTCTCCTTCATCTTCTCAATCTTCTTCACAGAGCTGCGGCGCTGGGGCCGGTCGTCGTGCCGGAGCAGGTTCATGCTGAGCTCTCCCGCCTTGTTGAACTGCTTCTCCTCCTGCTTCTCAGCCTCCTTCAGCTTGCTCTCCGCACTGATGCTCTCCGCGTGGTACATGTGGTAGGTTTTCATGACCTGGGGACACACAAGTGCAGGAATCAGCAGGCTGTTAGGACCCAGCCTGGGTGGCTCTGGTGCTCTCGGCCCCCTAAGTTCTGCGCTCCAGTCTGCTCAGCCCTCCCTCTTCCCGTGACACACTCTGAGCTCCCACAGCTCTTTACTTCTGCAAAACTCTCAGAGGACTGGAGATGATGATTGTCAGTAGCAGCTTCATAGTTATCATCATCACCATCATCACCATCACCATCATTAAGTCCTTACTAAGTGCCAAGAATGGACTAGCAAAGAGAAAATTTAAAAGGGCAACCACGGTCCCCAAGCATTTGGGGTCTCAGAGGTGATATGGCAACGTTGCTGCTCTCTCTAGCCATAATTCTTGTGTCACTGGGAAAGCTCCTCCTACAGTACTCTTGGAGCTTCCATGGGAACATCCTTCTTACTCACAAGCAAATTATTTTCTCAGCTGTTTCGTTAAGTAAAATTGGCCTACAAATGACTGCTCCCTAAAGGAGTACTATTGGGTAACAATACATCTGAATGCATATTCTATGCTCTCTGAACTAAACTCATCCTTGACTATAAAATGAATTCCTGTAAAGCATATTGCCCTTTGCTACTCTGCGTCCATAACAAAAGTTGGATGTTGTTATAACAAAGGGATTTTTGAGTCAGAGGAAATCCTAGATGTCATCTAATCTGACTACCAAATTTTATAAATAGGGAAACTGAGGCCCAGAAGGTCTCCAACTATTGCCCTTTGCTACTCTGCGTCCATAACAAAAGTTAGCTGTTGTTATAACAAAGGGATTTTTGAGTCAGAAGAAATCCTAGATGTCATCTGATCTGACTACCAAATTTTATAAATAGGGAAACTGAGGCCCAGAAGGTCTCCAAGATCAGCAGTAGTATCAGCATAGTCTCCAGACTTTACATCCATGTGGCCAAGCCCACAATCAAGATATAGAGCACTTCCATTACACCTGAAAGAGCCTGGTGTCCCTACACAGTCCTTCCCCACCCCTACCCCAGGCCCAGGCAATCACTGACTCGCTTTCTATCACTGTAGAATTTCATCTATATGGAACCATAGAGTATAAACCCTTTGAGTCTACCCTCTTTCACTCAGCATAATTTTTTTAGATTCTCCCATTTGTTGCATGTATCATACGTTCTTTTTTTATTGCTAAGTAGTACCCCATTGTATGACTATACCACAATTTGTTTATCTATTTTTGTTTGTTCATCCGCACTCAAGGATATTTTTTCCATCAATTTTTAGAGAGAGTGTAAGGGAGGGAAAGAGGGAAGGGGAGAGAGAATCATTGATGTGAGAGAGAGGTATAGAGCACTTCCATTACACCTGAAAGAGCCTGGTGCCCCTACACAGTCCTTCCCCACCCCTACCCCAGACCCAGGCAATCATTGACGCGCTTTCTATCACTGTAGAATTTCATCTATATTGAACCATAGAGTATAAACCCTTTGAGTCTACCCTCTTTCACTCAGCATAATTTTTTTAGATTCTCCCATTTGTTGCATGTATCATATGTTCTTTTTTTATTGCTAAGTAGTACCCCACTGTATGGCTATACCACAATTTGCTTATCTATTTTTGTTTGTTCATCCTCACTCAAGGATATTTTTTCCATCGATTTTTAGAGAGAGTGTAAGGGAGGGAAGGAGGGAAGGAGGGAAGGGGAGAGAGAATCATTGATGTGAGAGAGAGAGATTGATTGGTTGCCTCCTGCACATGCCTGAAGGGCTGGGGATCAAACCTGCAACCCAGATATGTGCCCTTGACTGGGAATTGAACCCTTTACCCTTCAATGTGCAGGCCAATGCTCTAACCACTGATCCACTGGTGAGGTCTGATTATATATTTGGATGTTGATAGTTATATGTATTGTTTACAAGTGTTGTAAAGCTGCTATGAATGTTCCTGTATAATTCTTTGCGTGGACATATGTTTTCATTTCCCTTAGGTAAATATCTAGGAGTGGAGTGGAGAGTCATATGGTAAGTGTATATTTAGCCAAATTAGAAATCTGGTCTCTGACTTTTAATCCAACATGTTTCTAACATATACTGTTTCCTTAATTTATTCCAATTTTCTCATCAATTGAATACTCTTGGCAGCCTTTAAGCAATATCCTGTCTCCTGGTCCCCAACTAAAAGTATATTTTCCTTTGCAATATCAAGTTTATGATCATCTTTCTATGCTAAGAAATTTCTGGAATCCATGGCTCCTGGGCCTTGTTTATTCTCTCTGTCCTTTGGATAATTACAGCAGCTAATAGAGCAGAGGCTTCTATGAGGTCATAGGGTGTACTCCTGCCTAGCCAAGCCCTTCAAAGTCAGGGAACTTGGAATGAAATACTGGCCAACATTATAACCTTATTTATTCTCATTTAAAGTCTTGTGAGGTAAGTTTATTAGAATGAGGATTTCTTCTGTGACTCTCACCATTAAGTCACAGCATTGATCTGTGGTTCAGAAAGTTCCCTTTGCCAGAGGTCAGGAGTCAATAGGGGCAACATCTATGGTACAACATGGTGGGTAAACATACGGACTCTGGGCCCAAATGTTTGGGCTGAATCCTAAGGCTGCCATTTACAAGCTGTGTGACCTTGGGCAAGTCCTCCCCTCTCTGACCTCTCCCTCCTCATCTGTAAAATGAGGATAATAGCACCTACCTCTAGGTTTGTTGTGAGGACTTAAGGAGTCAGTTTTTGTAAAGTGCTGAGAACATTACCTGCTGCAGGGTTAAGAGCATTAGCTGCCCCCATCACCATGATCACCATCCTCCCTGTTTAGGCTGAGGGTTTCAGAACCTTAAACTCACTTGACTTCAGGAAAATGTTTTCAAATTCTACAGAACATCTACTATTGTGAAAAAATATATATTCTATACCATGTTTCTCCCTCCTTCTTTCAACCTGAAAACCTCACCAAATTTCAAAAAAATAAATGGATAAAAAATGCAATCAATTTTCTTTGCAGGTCTTGGTGAGAAGACCGCTTGTCTGCATTCTACCCAATTTTATTTTATTTTTGCTTATTTGCAGTTGCCCTAAAACCTCTAGAGATCCCCATCTTGCTAATTTCACCCACTCATTTCCACTCAGCCTATTTTCAAACTCAAGGGGCCAGAAAGTGTGCTGGGTTGGTGCATTCTTGACATCTAGTGGCCAAAAGGAAGGGCTGCAGGCTTGTGGATAACCAAGGCAGTTGGCTATTTTTAACCACCTCCTTTGTGCAATGGCTCCAGGAACGTGATGCAGCTAAGAGTTGGCAATGCCTGCTCCAGTCTGTCTCCAGGACCCTGCCTTTCCCATTCTTGAATCTTCCTCTATCCCTCCACATTCACAGATACCACTGCTTTCTTTGCTTTTCTGCCATGCTTCTGGTGATGTTCATTTCTGGACTCCTCCCTTTCTGGGTTCAATTCTTCCTGCTACATCCACTTTTTTTCTACTTCAACTGCTGAGGTCTGCTTATTTCAGCACTAAATCTGTCATCTGCGTTAGGTAGTGCAGAGGAAGAGAGCGCATTTCTATTTGCAGCTAGATCTTCCTGTGCAATCATCCATGCATGCATCCATCTACTCACTCGGGTTGAAAGGGGCAGAAATAGAATATTGGGGACCAGCTATAATTATAAGAAATATTAATCATACTCTGTTAACCATGATTGTTTTGTTCTGATTAAAGAAGGCACATTCTAACCTGGCTGGGAGTTGCACGTGGGACCTGGGAGCTCACCTGGAAATGCGACCAATCCTCCCCATCTGGGAGCTGCCTATTATCATCGAAAGATAACCTTAATGCAGAAACCAGAGCTGCCAGCCCTTTGAAGACCCCCAGCCTTTGCATACCCGTAGGCCTTTGCAAGTCTCCAGCCCGCATTACCTGTAAACTGCCCATTTGACATACCTTTTTGCCTACTTCCCATGTAATCTTTGTCTTTCTACCCAATATAAGCAGCTGGCTTACGGTGTAGTGCAGAGCAGATTTTTGTGGATGACCTGCTGCTCTCCCATACTTCCGGCAGTATTGGAATAAATGCTCATATATGATTCAACCCTGTCTCTGCTGAATTGGCCCAAGCCCAGACCCTTTGATTGTCCGGTTACAAGGTCAGCACCCCAGCAGGGTGTTCTCAGTTTCTCACATTTTCCTTTGCCCAGTTTTCTACTCTTCTTGAACCATAGAGCACTCTTTCTGCTCTTCAACAAGCCAAGCTTCCCAGTGCAGTCTTTGAACTGCATTCCCAAAACCCCATGTTTGGAGAGCACAGCCCTGACAATGCTGGAGCCATCAGATATGTGCCCTTGACTGGGAATCAAACCCTTTACCCTTCAATGTGCAGGCCAATGCTCTAACCACTGATCCACTGGTGAGGTCTGATTATCTATTTGGATGTTGATAGTTATATGTATTGTTTACAGTGTTGTAAAGCTGCTATGAATGTTCCCGTATAATTCTTTGCGTAGACATATGTTTTCATTTCCCTTAGGTAAATATCTAGGAGTGGAGTGGAGAGTCATATGGTAAGTGTATATTTAGCCAAATTAGAAATCTGGTCTCTGACTTTTAATCCAACATGTTTCTAACATATACTGTTTCCTTAATTTATTCCAATTTTCTCATCAATTGAATACTCTTGGCAGCCTTTAAGCAATATCCTGTCTCCTGGTCCCCAACTAAAAGTATATTTTCCTTTGCAATATCAAGTTTATGATCATCTTTCTATGCTAAGAAATTTCTGGAATCCATGGCTCCTGGGCCTTGTTTATTCTCTCTGTCCTTTGGATAATTACAGCAGCTAATAGAGCAGAGGCTTCTATGAGGTCATAGGGTGTACTCCTGCCTAGCCAAGCCCTTCAAAGTCAGGGAACTTGGAATGAAATACTGGCCAACATTATAACCTTATTTATTCTCATTTAAAGTCTTGTGAGGTAAGTTTATTAGAATGAGGATTTCTTCTGTGACTCTCACCATTAAGTCACAGCATT